AGAGAGAGGGAGGGGAGGGGAGGGGAAGAGAAAGCGAGAAAACGGCAGCACCACAATCCTTTCTACCACATGTCTCCTGGGATTACAGGGACACAGGCACATATGCCCAATGTTTTTCAGGCCCTGGGGCAGTGACTCAAATCATAGTGAGCCATGTGGGATCCAGCCTCCTCAATCACCAGGATACCATCTGGCCTCCCAACAAGATCTTGATGCCAAGATCCACCTCCAGTCTCCTTATAATTTCAGGGAGTTCTCTGGGTATGAATTCAGAATCTTCTCAAGTGGACAGCCCGACAGCAGTGCATTGTACTGCTGTACCAGCCACCATTCAGTACCTGTTTTAACACAAGTCCATGATATTTTATATTTTAATTTACTATAAAGCACAATACTTGAGACCTGGTTTAAACGTAAGCCCTATTACCAAGTAATTGGAATTGAAGTAATTTACATTGTCCAAGTATTTTTTTCACATTACTGTTATTTAGCCAAAGTTCAATTTATAAGCTTTTAAGTGAAAAATATGGAGAAAAGGAGAGAAGTGTAAGAACTGCCTTGATATATACAGCTATATTATTACTATGCTACAGACTTCTGATGCTTCTTAAAATGATCAATATGCTTGCTGAGAATATAAATTCTGAATCAAAGGCTGGAGAAAGAGATCCAGTATACACTGACCTTCATACCAGTTGTCCCCATGTCTCGCTTCTAAGCTGCCTTAAACAGCTTTTTTTTTCTGAATATAAAAAGTCAACTATAAGGGATCTGAAAGGCAGAGGACTGAAATACTAGATTCAGGACCAGTAGGTGATGTGGTGGTTAAGACGGTGGATCCCACATGGCTGACTATGTGGTTTGAGTCCTGGCACCTTGAAAACCATGCCAGGCACATGTGGACACATGCCAAAAATCCTTAGAGGAAAAGGGACTGCAGTATGGCCATCCACTTTGGGGGGGATTTCTCACTTCCCTCTTTATCCTTCTATGGCGAGCAAATGCACTCTGTGTCAAAAGAAAAAGAAAAGAAAGTGGCTTCAGAGAAAAGCTTAAAGTTACAACTGAGACAACGGATCTGTAGGTTTAAAACAACAGAACCTTATCATCAGATTAGTATATTATGTCATCTCTGAAAATAAATGCACACTCATCTTGGTGTCTCCAAAATTTTTTTATTTTTAGAATACAACCTAACTTTCTGGGAAGGAGTAAAATGAAGCTGCATTCCTAGTAGTCATCTGACAAAAACTGTCCATTATTCTTAACATTAAAAACAGGAATGTAATTCTTTTTTCATTTTTTTTTTTTAAATAACACACTGACATTTACTTAATATATTTAGAATCTTGTGATTTCCAGTGATTAGTATTTTGTCATGTCTGGAAAGGAACAGAAGACAGTGACTGAGAAGCACACGCCTCATAAAAGACACCTAAATAGGATACTTAGGATGACTAATATTAACAAATTGAACATAACACATTCTTCCTCAGAGGAAGCGATTTTAATTTCTAAAGAGCATTCACTTCAGACATTTCAATTCCTGATTTGAGTGGCTGCAGATTGTGTACCTCTGTGCCACACTTAGGACAAGTAAAGTACATGTCAAACAGGAAACTACTCTTAACACAGTAATAACAGAAGATATGTTCACATCCTATGGTGTGTGGCATGGTGGGCCACTCCCCACATAGGGAACATTCTTTGCCACTGGTGGCTAATGAACCATCATTAGCAGGAACACCAGTTAGGGGGATACACCATGATGCTAACTTGGCTTTCAGCTTCTGAATATTGATAAGTGGTAAGAGAAAAATCAGGAACTCAGCAAAACCATGCCAGAGAAGTTCCCTGTTCATATACTCAAACCCAACCTCACGTATGTTTTGGGGCTTGCAAAATACAGAACGAATGCCTAGGAGACGTTCTGTCAAAGTTGCAAACTTTCCTCTTTGAAGGAAAATCAAAAAATTAATCAACTCACCTAATTTCAAAAGTCCAACCACAAAATTCATGCACTGCTTGACTTTCCCAAAGGATGCCAAATGGTGGTTTCGAAACAAATCGTAGCCTCTTTCTTCCAACCACCTCCCACCAACTGTACAAACGGCATACCAGAGCTTTTGATTCTTACTCGGTGGCTGATATTTCAGGTTTGGGGAAAAATCATTTTTATACTGAATATTCAAAACTGACTGACCCACAGTGGCATTTTTGGAGTATATAGTGAATCGCCACAAGAAAAGCCACAAAAATGCTTTCACCTCGGGTTCAAAGCAGGCTAACAGCCCTGGCTTAAATCCATGAAAGCACTGAGTAAACTGGGACCAGACTAGCTGCTCCAGAGCCTTGTTTAGTTCAAGCGCATCCAACTGACTTATCCTCAGCACTCTGTTCGTACTCTTTGCATTTTCTTCTCTCGGAGCCATGTCTTCTTTTAAAGTGTCTAGGAAAAAATAAATCAGGGAATATCATCCAATAGCTGCAATCTTATGCCACATTCACAACTTAGTTCAAAAACTGTGATACGCAAATGACACAGGTCAGGCAGAAGACGGCCTTTCAGTATGTAGATATTGAGCCACCACTTTCTAGATGGGACTTCTCTCTCTCTTCTCTTCCTTTCTTGTTTTTTCCCTTTGCCCATGTCATAAAAGACTAGTTTAAGACAAAAAGGCTCTACCCTATTTCCAGAAAGGTACTTGAAAAGGAAATAATCCTTGGTCACATAGACTAGTAAAGATAGTGAAATCCTGGAGCTAACAGGGATGAGCTGAATAATAACACAACTAATGGAGAATATATGAATATAATAAATACAATAAATTATATGGAACACTGCAATGAATGGGTAAGTCAGGACCTCGTTATATTAGACTACTGCTGACTCTAAAGGTATATCTTTCAACAAGTCACTACGTTTTTCTTAAATACATTTTATGTTTACAAAGGAGGCTCGAAAGAAAAATGAGTAGCTCTATCCCACTTCTGAAGAAGATACTTTGCATAAAGCAACAAGAATGGAGAAAAATCATTGATCCATTCATTTTATTAACTAAAGTTATTAAGTTTATTTATCCTCCCACAAGTGAGAGAGACAATATCCCCAACAGGGTGTTGTATCCACCCCAGCTTCAGTCAGTCTCAGATCACAGGCACGGGGTTGGCCTGGCATATTCAGAGAGACCACAGGACATAAATCTGGAACCTTCTCATGTGGAGCAGCCTCAAGGGGCATTACATCTTAGTGCCAGGCCACCATATGGCCCTGATGTGTCATTACGAAGGTACTAAAAATATACACATCATACAGAACTCTAAGAAAACTATAACATAAAAACATGTTCTACAATATACTAAGGAAACAAATAGGTGTTAAAGAGAATTTTTATTTTTTTAATTTGTCGAAGGATGCATGCGGTCATCAGAGAGAGACAGAGAGATAGAGGAAGAAAGCACCCCAATGGGGTGTGATCATGCCACAATCCTCTCTTCCATTTCTCCCCCCTTTTGGGATTTGGGTTATGCATGCACACAGGGGTGGTATTCAAACTGCCAAGTTGGCCCTTGTGGGATCCTGCTTTATTAACCAACAGGCCATGGGGCTGTACTGAAATTTTTAAATGAATATAAAAAGTTATTCATAGTTAGCTAGGTATAAGTGATTGCTTCCGAACACACATTTATTAAGGGCTGATTATGTGCAAGCCAATGCTTAAAACACCAGTCACTCCTGTAGTTGAATATACAGACCAGTTTAGATATTTTAAATTTTATTAATGAGCTAGAAAGTTCACATTAAAATAAAAAATTATATTTAAATTTAGTTTCTAACATGGGTCCTCTGTATCTCATGAATGTGGAATCTAAGAAATTTAAACTCAATTCTAAGAGCTGGGGGTCAGAAAAGGTGGGGAGGTACTGGTCAAAGAATACCAACTTTTAGTTACAAAACAAGTTAGTTCTTGGGGGAGGGGGGTGCTAACGTACACCATGGTGACTTTAGTTAATACTGTACTGTTCATGTAACATTTACCAAGTGTAGATCTTCAGTGTCTTCGTCCTACCTCCCAACACAATGGTACAACTACGGGTAGCAAGGAATGCGCTAATGAATCTGACCATGGTAATCATTTCGCAATGTACACAAGGGTACTTAACAAAGTTAGTGGGAAAATGGAATGAAGATATGAGTTTATTTTGGTGCAAAAAATATTTGGTGCCAATTCATCCTCAATCCAAATACATGACAAGAGTGCTTTTAACCCATAAATGTCTGCAGTCTTCCGGGGAGAGCTCACCTTTTTCCCCCTTCCTGCAGCTCCTCTGAGATTTGAGAGTCTGCAGTTATGGCAGTAGGGATTTTTGCTGCAAGTGATTCTGTGAAATCTTTGCCTCATACTTGCCAGGAGCTACAGAAAAAAAAAGAAGGAAGTTAGAAAAAGAGTTCCCTTTCTTCACTCTACTAATTGAATCCATCTCCTGGAACTGTTGATTTTTTGTCCAAAATATTTTTCTAATACATTCATCACTCTCTGCCCCAGCTAGCCTACTCCCAGATCCTGGAGCACTCTGCTCTCCCCGAGATCACTTCTAATTGGTCTCTTTCACCTTTTGCCTCCTTTAGTGCATTCCCGACACTGCAACTGCCTTAAAACAAACCTCCCCAAAGCTACCCCTTCCTGACATATCCACATCTAGCTGTAAAGTGCTTCCTTTTCTTGTTACGAATGGACTTTACTGTCTCTTCTCTTTGCATGGAATGGCACAAGGGACTTCAAAAAGTATGTGGAAAAATATAATTAAAGTATTGTTTTTGTGCAAAAAAAGTTTGAAATCCATAGTTTTTTTTTTTTTATAATATACATTTACCATGAACGTTCTGAAGACTCCAGTACATTCCCACTCTTTAACCCATACTGGGGCCAAGAGGTGGCATGGTGGTTAAGGCGCTACACTCCCACATGGCTGACTGTAGTTCGAGTCCCAGTCCTAGTAGACTGCTTTTTCATTTTCTCTCTCTGTGTCACTCTCTCTGGTGAGCAGATATGCCCTATGGCAAGTTAGAAAATAATAATGACAAATAAAATTAAGTAAATAATTCTTTCAAAAATTAAAAACCCATACTAAGTTTTTAAGCACTGCCTCAGGTCTTACTTTCCCTTGACTCTTCAAATTTGGGTGGCTGTTCTTTTCAGTTGTTCCCTTAGCATGGTATTCCTCCTCTTTCTTGGCCTCTATAATAAACTACGTTGTAATTGTTTCATCTGCTAGAGGATAAACACTGTTGTAAAGATTATTTGAGTTTCATCACCATTGAATCGTAACAACTATACAGAAGTCATTTTACTAATACTAGATTAATAGATAAATGATCAGGAGTTTGTGTAGAGTAGAAAATACGAATTTCCATCTATTAACTATTAAAGTTATTTCAAATGACCATTTCCATTATTCTGATTATTACATTTTTCATAATCTTTTATTGTATATCTGTTCACCAGCTGAAATATTAGACCTAGTGATTTACTAATACAACAGACACACTTTCGATTCCTGTTGAGCCTATCACCTATTGGGGTAGGAGGAGGAAGAGCAAATAAACTATATAAACTAAACAAGTAACTAGATTAAGGGGTGGTAAGTGATATGCAAAGGAAACTGAGGGCACTATGCTTACAACTATACTTCCAAATGTCAGAGAACACTTCCCAGAGGAGTAACATATAAGCAGTCACCCAAGGGATTACGTGTCAGGCTGGTGAAAGAAGGTAAGAACCTTGCTGAAAGTAGAGGGAACAGCAAGTGCCATGTACTGGAGGTGGAAGAATGAGAAATGAGGCTGGGAAGGAACGAGACAGATCCTTCAGGCCCTAAAAAATCAGTCGAGGAGGCTATACTTTATCAAGATAGTAATGCAGGGACCAGCAGTTAGCATAATGGCTATGTCGCTGGACTCCCATGGAGCCGAACGCAGTATGCGTTTCTTCGCGTTTCGGACCCGGTGGCTTAAACTCATACCGGGCGCGTGTGCGTGCGTGCCCAGGATCCCGAGAGGAGAATGGAGAAGAAGGGATTGCGGTGTGGCCATCCCCCCTGGGGGATGATTTCTCGCTTTCTGTCTCTCTCTGTCTGGCGAGTGCATGTGCCCTATAGCATAAACCTCCCCTCCCAACCAAAAAAAAAAAGGCAATGCAAAGCTACTGGATAGTTTTAAGCAAAGAACTAATCGGATCTGCATTTAGACTGCTTGTTCTGGTCATCCTGAGAATGGATCAGAGCTGAGAAAAAGACAGGAGGCATAGAGGCCATTTAAGAGTCTGTTAGAAAGATCTAGTGAGAAACTAATGGTCTAAATCAGAAAAGTATCAGTGGGGAGAGAGAAAAAATATCTTTGAAAGTGATGAGGTGGTAGAATTGACACTATTTACTGAGGAATAAGCCAAGAATAACTGACTTAGGGAACTGAGTGACGGTGATCTAGTTCTCAGAAACAGGAAAAATGTGAAGCAATACACAATTTTAGAGATCCGAGTTGCCTATGGGACATCTAAGTGGAAAAGTAGGCAGTTATGTGAATATAGAAGAAAAACATGGGTGGAGATTTTATAAGTCAGAGGCCTCTCTGGTAGGACTACTCTACTGTCAATCAACTTGCTCTACTTGGTAGTGCATGTACATTTAGAATACATTTGACTATTGGAACCAGCAGATGGCATAATAGTTATGTTGCTGGATTCCCATATAGTTGACGGCAGTTTCAAGTCCTAGAGCCGGCAGCTTAAAACTCATTCCAGTGCACATGCATGCATGCCCAAAACCCCAAGAAGAGAATGGACTGCAGCGTGGCCATCCCCCCTGGAGGGAGTGATTTCTCACTTTCCATTTGTCTGGTGAGTGCACACGCTCGATAGCAAAAATCTCTCTTAAACATACACACACACACACACACATTTGACTTTCTCTGCAACGTTATCATCTATTTTCATAATTTTCCTACTCTAGCAACTATGTTATTTTGTTGGTTATATATACCAATTTCATCTATAATTTTGTGCTTTTAATTTTTCTATGCTGTACTCTTCATTATCACAGTATTGTGGTCTGAACGCTCCTCTAAGTCCAGTGACTTTCAAACATGAGAGTTCATCAGAATCACTTAGACGATGTGTTAGACTGTGGACCACATTCAAAGTTTCTAATTCAGTAGGTCTGTAGCGGGACCCAAGAATTTACATTTCTAAAAATTTCTCTAGTGATGCTAGAACTATCGCGCTAGTCAATCAAAGCAAAATTTGTAATTTTTTTTTGCATATTACCCATCCAGCCTATAAACACATTTCTGGTTATTTCTCATCCATGTATTTATGGAAGCTGCTACAGATCTCTCACTGACTTATGGCTTCCCTGTCTTCTATTAAGTAGTCTATAAGATGAAAGACTATTTATTGCACAAACACTGAGTATCATACTAACCATGCCAGATGCTCAGGATGCAGAGATAAACAAACATCTTAGCTCTCTCTTAAGGACCCCAACCTAAGTCTAGAAAGCAAATCAGGCAGGACCAGCAGTTGGTGTAATGGCTGTGTCACTGGACTCCTATGTAGTTGCTCGTGGTTCGAGTCCTGGACCAAGTGGCTTAAACTCATGCCAGGCACATGTGTGTGGATGCCCAAGATCCTAAGAGGAGAATGGAGGAGAAGGATTGTGGCATGGCCATTCCCCCTGGGAAGGGATTTCTCGTTTTCTGTCTCTGTCCTTTTGGCGAGTGCACATGCTCTATAGCAAAAACAACTCAAAAAAAAAGGAATCAGGCAAATAAATAGATAACTAGGGCAAAAAACATTAGTATTTGATATCATATGTTCTCAAAGGCAAAACATAAAATTTCAAAAGTATTTTAATAGAAAAAAATTCCAAGTTCACATACCTAAATAAATGAACAAGATTAATTTTCTCATTTTTTCCTGCAGTTAATAAATGTTCTGTAACTTACACTATTAAGAAGAAAAACAAGAACATTATTTTATAAACCTCATCAACTAACCCAAATCTACATGATTACTTAATTCATACTTACAAAATAATCTATGTCTTTTATTTAATAATCTCTTATCTCTTCATGAATCCTAGAATAAAGTACAACATTCTCTGACTGTCTTCATCTCTGCAACTATTTTTAACACATTATTCCCCAACAGAACCTTTAATTCTGTACTATCTTTCAGTCCTATCTTTGTGACCTTTCTCATGTACTTCACTTACTTTCCTTACCAACTATTCCCACTGCCCTAATCTATCTCTCCTTCACAGTCCAACTCTATTTCAAAATTCTCCAAGATACATCCAAAACTAACCCCCATCACTGATCACTACCATTTTTAACTCTGACAGCAACTGTCTGTGCCACTCACTTGAACCCTCAACCATCTGTACTGATTCCAGTCATGTGAATACATCTTCCTTCCCAAACGTGAATGTAAGCTACTTAAAGGAAAGCACCTTATACTTATTTCTCAAAGCACCTGTCACCTTCAAAGTGACTTTCTTATCTAGTGCAGTTTTCTTCAAGCAAAATTCTAAAGTCATTCAAGATATGTGGAAATGTGTGTGTATGTATAAATATATATAAAATTTCCCTACTGAACAATATCTAACTCTGCACTTTCACCAGATTTCATATTCCATACTCAGCAAGATAGGGGGAACACCCTTTTTATCGAATAAATGGCTCTTGAAAAGCTCTGACCATTCTGGATACCCATGTATGTGCAATACTACCAGTCCCCTCCCTACACCCATCTTGGTATTGTACTATATGGACTATTTTTCTTTTTTCTTTTACTTGAGTACCAGAAGAAATGTTTGACTTGTCTTAACAGGTTAGCTGTCAATTTATGTATCTATCTTTAAATACTAGAGTCACAACACTTCCAGACTGTGGCTGATGGGTATCTTACTGACCTTATAAAACCTTGAGATTAACTGCAAAAATAGCTCATAGTAGCTGTTCAGTAAATGTTTGTTGAACTTACATGCAATGGAATAAGTAGTTTGATAGCCAGTCAATGTACTAGCTGACTCTAGAGTGAGATTATCTAAATGAACTAGATGACAAGTAAAGATATTTATTCTTCAGGTCCATTATTGATATTTAGTGAAAACTGATCAGAGGCAACAGTTTTTGGAGGAATCCTCTATTTCAAATCCCTCATTTCTGGAGGAATCATACTTAAGAACATTTAGTAAGTTAGGTTTTTAATGACTGCCAGAAAAGGAGACTTAACACAGTCTCTAACCAATCCAATATTTAACAATACTTACAGTCAAAAAATTCTTTCTTATCCCTTCTGTTATAGTTTAACATTTTTTTCTGTCCTCTTTTTCTCCCCAGGCCTGATCTCAGTGT